TATATACTATAAGTTTTATATATTATTATAGAGATATAATAGTACTAACTAGAAGTAAACTAGATTTTTCTTAAAAGTTAGTTAAATATGTATAGCTTCTTATTTACGTAATATATCTTAGTGTAACTTTAATAGTAGGTATATATAGTATAGTTCTATCTATATTAAAAATTTTATAGAAAGATATTAAGGTTTCGCTTAGTTATTTAAGAAAAACGGGCTGATTTTCGTTGATTTTCGTTGCCAAGAAATCGTGGGGCGTTCGATGATATGGGGCGTTCGATGATAAAGTACGTTATCTTATTTAGATCAACTAGTGCTACTAAAAATAATGCCAGCTCTGCGCTCGGCTCCTCCGTGCAGTTAAGCGCCACTGCGATGAACTAAATCTTCAAAATCGTTAGGGAGCGCTGAGCGTTGGAAATAGGAAGCGAGGGACCTCAAATTCTCCAGTTGTATTCTGATTTAGGTCAAGTCCCTTCAATTACCCGCCACGGGAGTTCCGAAACGGGCTGCGAGGGCGGAGGCACCAGAGACACCTAGGAGAGCTCCGAGCCCTCGCCTAGCAGACGTCGTTTTCCCTGCGCCGAACTTACGAAACAACGTTACGGTGATACACGTGGGCAAAGAAAGAAGCTAGTTTACTTGCGATAAGTGGTGGAACATACAGATCCTTGAATGGTCTTTCTGCATACATACCGCAAACTTTCCGATCAAGCACCGGGTATACCATTGATAGCAAATACAGCTTTTTTAATCCACGAATGGGACCTCTAACCTGAGAACAGGGGCCAACGGAGTTTTTGTATGCGGTATCCGAGGATAGCCATGTAATACACTTGGTTTTGCGGGGAAGTACTTGGCTTAGAACATCACCGTGTTTCAGAAAAGCCGAAGGGCAGCACAATGCCTGAATTTCTTAGAGCGTATTTACCTTCTTTTCGTTATCATGTGTTTTTCAATCCATTATTCAAACCATTAAAGAGCACGACTCCCCATGAGAGTTCCTTATCTAAATCATAGCTGTGTCCAATACTGAATCGTTTGTATCAAGGAATCACGCAAGGCCTTCTATTACTGGATGAAGATCACGGACTTACACAGGACAAGAAGATAAGACAAGCCTTCGCCCAGCAACAACTAATTGAATCTGGAAGAACTTCATATCCGCAATGGAGGGTTGTAATAATAGAGGACTGCATTTTTTCCGCGCCTCATCGGTCACCCTTCTTGGCCTTGGACAAGACCTATGGCTCTATAAGATGGCTCATAGACGGTCATCCATTAGGACTTTGCGCAATCTCCCAGACGGGCTCATTACCAGCTAATCGTTTGCGGGCCCTTTCGCTCTCACCGTCACCGCAATGTTCTTCGCATCAATCCTTGCTTTGGCCGCCGGTCTACCTTCCGCCCTCGCTTGTTTGGGTTACGAGGGAGGCCTTCCCGTTGCGACCGGTACAACTACAGTCAGCGCTCCTATTGAGGTCGCCGCTGGGCAAGTCTACGATGGTGGATGGAGGAAGTTCCAACGCACAGGATATACCTGCAAAAACCAAGAGGAGGGCGGTAAGACCCCACATCTATCTCATTCTGACTCTCGATTGCATTAGGGACTGACAAGCCTCCGGTTACAGGCAGCGCAGACACCATGTTCATTCTCCGCAAAGGCGCAACACTGAGGAACGTCATCATTGGTCAGAACCAGGGTGAGGGTGTTTACTGCTACGGAGGATGCAATTTGGAGTTTGTCTGGTTTGAAGATGTTTGTGAGGATGCTATTTCGATTGTAAGTGCACCTTATCTTGGTAATAAAGTTCGATAACTAATAGCTTGATACAGAGAGATGATGGCCCCAACGACCAAACCTGGATCGTCGGCGGAGGAGCCTATCACGCTTCCGATAAGATCATCCAACACAACGGTTGCGGAAAAGTCAATGTCCGTCTTCCCACCCCTCCTTCCCATCCCTGTTTTCTCTTTTCTTACAAAGCTCACGCATAACACAGGTAATCAACTTCTACGCCGAAGATTACGGAAAGGTCTACAGAGCCTGCGGTACTTGCACTGCTTGCAAGCGTACTGTATACCTAGAGGGCGTCACTGCTCGGGATGGTGGTGAGGTTGCCGGAATCAATATAGGAGATTCGGCGACACTGAAGAATATTTGTACGGATGCGAAGACGCCGTGTCAGTTGTATAGTGCGCCGGGTGTGAAGGCTGGCGCTTGCTAGAGGAGTGATTGCTGCTTTGGAGGTTGACTTGAAACTCAACTTTTTCTTTCGGAGATTGAGCTAAGAATATAGGTTGGCACGTTGACAGCAAGGAAATGACTAATGATAACGTACATCCACTCGTAACGGAACGTCATCCTCTTCTTCTGCACCTGAAATGTACCAACGTGACTCAATAGGATTATGGATACTATTTTACTATAGATCAGCTAATAGTAGGAGATAATGTCAGATGCAAACTAGAAAATTACAACAGTTGGGGCTTGGTGTCGGAGGTTCTGTTCGCGGTGACTATTCGCTACTTCAGCTATTCCCCCTGTCTAATAATGAAATTCGGCATGTCTTAAGGTTTCGGAGGTATAGGACGAAAGATTAATCAAGAAAGTCACTATCACGAGGCTTTCGCGACACACCGTGCTCAGAAGCTAGGATCCCGAGAGTTTCGCAGAAGGGAACTTGGCATGTGATTAGGCATGGCTCTGTCATGACGTATTGCAAAGAAGCGCTATGCTCGATCCGATTCCTTCGCACCTACGCGTCTTGTTCTATTTTTAATGCACATCATCTAGTAGAGCGTGGTCTGTCCCCTTTATCAGTACCACCACAGCAAGTAGCCATGGAACCAGCCACCCAGGCGCTGGCGCAAGAACTCCCTCCAAATGTTCGTAGAACCTACAGCGCCCTATCCGAACGCACTGTCGTTGCATCCGCTCCTATCATGCCTTGTCATATCCGTCGAGCCCGCCGCCATGTCTTTTAGTCAACCAGCGCGACTCTCTCGAAACAGGGATGGAATTTGCTGACTTACCGCTCTTTAGCTGATGCTAGTGCAAACAGAAAATTATCTTGACTTGTATTACTAAGCATAGCAAGAGTAGTAATACTACGTAGAAGATTCTAGAGGTGTTTTTCCGATAATATAAATACTTGTTGCTCCTCGGACCCGCCTATGAAATAGAGATTATAAAGTAAATATATAATAAGATAAAAAGTGTATAAGAGGCCTATGCTGTATGAATTTTAAGAAGCATAGTACGACCTGAAGAATGCCCTAAGCAGACTACGTCTTTATTGACTGTAGAGCAAGTCGGTCGATATTCAGAAGGAAGCCATAGCAACCGCTATTGATCTGAAGAGATTTACTGGTCTTGTACGAAGATACGAGACGGCTGCGCTCCTTGCAATGAGGGCAGTAGCGTAGTAGGAGAACGCAGAGGAATATCTCCTCGTTGATCTATAAGCGCAGTTATAATTTTAAGCTTTATTTTAGTTCTAAGTAATATTTACAAGATACTACTTTAAATCTATGAGGTAAAATTAGCTATACTAATATCTGTATCTAAGAAACTAAGCTGACTGGATTGAAATAAGAAGTTATCTGCAGACTCTGTAATAAGCTGGGAGTAAAAACCATCAAGTGGGACCGACGAAATAGGTCCCATAATTGCTGTGTCCGCGGAAGCCGGCAGGGTCGTATGCGTGCATGGTACTATGGATGCAAGGTTATGTAAGTCCAAACCGGAAGTTGTGGACGCTGAGAATTCAAATTCTCGGGGCGAAGGCGTACCTAGAGTATCGAACACTTGCAAGAACCGTCGCAAGCAATGTCTTCCCTTGCGACTCATCAAGCTAGATCTTTCGACCATTTCGAGCGTCCGCAAGCCTAGTTCCAACGCATTTCGAACCTCCGATGAGTCGATTACTTGCTGGAGCGGCATTGAGTCATCTCGATAACAAGCCAGCAGTATACCAAAGAGATGGAGGTTGACTGTGAACACTGCAACCTGTCAGTGACGAGACAAGCGGGGTCGGGACCAAGCACTTACTGTTGTAGTTACAAAACCACCAGGTTGCATTGTGGTCGATGAAGCTCAGGTCGTACTCAGCTACATAGTGGATGACGCGGTCGAGTTTCCTTGCAGCGGCGAAATGTTGCTTGATAGCGAGGGTGACTTCGTCCATCAGAGGGTGAAATGCACCCTGGCCTGGATGACGCTCGGCGAGTAAGCCCGTTAGAACAGGACTATTGATGAGCAGTGCGGTGCTATAATACTGGATAGAAAGAAGCACTCGGAAGCGATTCGCATCGTATGAAGCGGGAGACCAGCTGTCCAGTTCGGGACCTGAAAGGACCGAAAAAGCCTGTGGGCAAGTCCTAAGCCATTTTTCGAGGTCGCATATAAGACGTAGTCTTGCGACTACCGCATCTTGCATGGAAAAGCTCTTCGGGGGACCCAGGTTGCGGTCATATAACACTTCGACGACCGTGGACCTAATCTTGTGCAATGATCTTGACAGGTATCAGATATATATATATACTCTTCAGGGAGATTATACTAACATGAGAAGGTTATAATAAACCAAGCTATCACTGTGATTCCTGCTGCAGGCCGGCATTGACTCCGTGCTAGGCGGATGGTTCAACGGCGGGTCTACTCGGACGTAATCGGGCGGAACAAGGCAAGGGCGTCCTAAAGCGATGCTTAGATAGCTATTATCTCTTGGTTACTAATTCTGCAAAGGGAGGACGGGAGGAAACCCCACCTGTCCTGGATTATTACGCCAAACCAGAGCCGTTTGAGGAGCTCACGTTTCTGCATCCCATGCTCGTCGTATGGCGCCGGTGAGTGCAATCCAAGCTGAAGTGCGGCTTTTACAGCAACTGCATGGTATGTCCAGCTTGCGATGGAACGTTGGGTGTTTTGTTGAAAGCAGCATAACAGGAGAAGTGCTTGCACTGGAGCAGGTCAGTCACCAATAGTATGAGTAGCTAAGTAGATGGTTGTCAGGCCCATACCGAGCTCCAGACTCGATCCGCGAAGGGTAAGCTCGTCGAGAATTAATAGGGTACGGCGATAGAACACCTCGGCATTCGTAGAGCGTAGTGTGAAGGCAGCATGAGCGCAAATGATGTTCAAGAGTGCTCTTCCTGGCTTCGAACTTTGCCAGATCGCCCTCTGTCCCAACTGAGTGCCGTCGTGTAGTAGAAAAGATTTGTCCACGTAAGGGAGGACTATGCCAACGGTAGCAAAGAACTGATTGACTAGCCCCAGCAGGTCCTGATCGCTTGGCAGGGCATACGGGTCTACCGACTTGGGGCGGCCGTCAGTTTGCCGAGGAGGAGATTGTGGGAGAGCGCTTGGGGACGATAGCGAAGGATGGATGAAGTGTTCGCGCGCAGAGCTCTCAGCGGAATGCTGCTGCGACTGGAATATTAGTGGCACCCGAAATGCAAATGCCGACGACAGTGCCCGGAATAGCGCATGGTTTGAAGTGGGGCCTTGATATGGTGAGTAAGGAGCCGCTCTCAACGCCAGTCTTCCGGTCTCACCAAAATAGCCAATATCCCTTTGCGGTACTTCGTCAAAAGCATTGGTGGCAAGGGCATCGACGGAAGTCTCGTCATCCATTGTCACCGCCTCGGTTGGGTTGGGAGATGGTTCGGCTACGGCTTCTGCCGTCGTTGGACTCAATCTTGCCTCTAGTTCCTTCACCCTTTGGGTGAGCTGTACATATGTGCTGTTAATTCCGTGAGCAGGGCCCTTGAGCTGATTGCATAAGTGGGTTGTACGGCTGGCCATCTTTTCTCTTGCCATTCTTTTCCGGAGATTGCAGGTCTTCGTAACAGCAAGGCAGATTGAGCTCCAAACAAGTAGAACAGCCAGGTCGGATGCCATCACACTGCGCATCTGTGAGTAAGTAGAGCCCTTTGCAATATGGTAAAGGTGGTGAAGCTACCCTGGACTTTCTCTGTCGACAAGAAGTGCATGCAAGAGATACCCTCCTGCGTCTGGGTATTCGGCCGTCAGGCCGTGTCCTTAATGAAGGTGAACGATAGTCGACATGATCATTCTCCATTGCAGGGTTGCTGACTGAGTGGAAAGTAATTTGGAGCACCTTCTCTCTTGCGAAGAGAGAGTAGAGCTACCAACGTCAACTCTTACCCCGCACACGTGTGCTACCCCGCATCTATGTGGCACGTTTCGAGATCGCCACGTGACTTCCAAGGTTATCTTCAACTTTATACTATCCAAATGTAGCGTGCACTGGGTACGCAAGCAACGCAACTCCTTCCGAGGCCAGCATCGGGATGTAATCTGTGGAGTATATAATTCTGCATTAACTGAATTGAGCTGACAGACGCAAAACTGCGCTTCACTCTAGTCAACCAGTGGTTCTCTTCTTCGCTCTCACCATTAAGGGATGTTGCAAGTCGCTGATGCCTACGCTGACTAGCTCAGGCAACTGTTTCCCAGTCCTGTTCCCTTTCTCAACGTCTGCCACCCCACCACTCGCCCCCGCCAACTCAAACTCAAACTCTCTCAACAAAGTGCTCGACAACTTGTATATATTGGTTTGGGCAACGGTTTTCCCAATGCACTGTCTGCCGCCCAAGCCGAAATGCATCAAGTATCTCGCCCGCGCGGCAGTCTCGGGTTTGTCCCATCGGCTTGGATCGAATGTATTGTGGTCTTCTCCCCACACAGCTGGATTGTGATGGAACGCGTGGTTGCATACTGCAATGGAAGTCTGCGAGCTCGTCAGCGAACTTGGCATGTGGCACAATGGTGCACCTGTTGCTCTTACTCCCTGCGGAATATGTCTCCCTCCTATCACGACGCCTGCTGGGTCCAACACCCGACGAGCCAACGGCATAGTGAAGACTGGTGTAATGCGGAAGTTCTCCTTGATGCATTGCCGCAGATAAGGCAGTGATGCCTCCACCTCCGTTATGGAATACGCTGACCGTTCGTTGCCCAGGGGTGCAAGTTGGGCATCAACCTCAGCTTTGCATTTCGCCATGATCTCAGGTGCGTGTAATAGGTGATAGAAGAGCAGCGACGTTGTAGCACTCGTTGTGTGCGTACCCGCAATGCTTCAGCAGTAGTAAGCCATCCGTACGCGACATCGGCCATAAATCGTCGTCGGCAAGCACTTACATGAATCCAAACGCTTCCGTCTCTAGATCCGCCTGCGTCAATCGTTCGCCAGTATCGGGATGCTCGGCGAGGATCAAGCTTGTAAGGATGTCTTTCCTTTGAGATGCAACAACACTTCCATCATCTTTGACATCCTGAAGGGCCGCAACACGCCTCTGGACGCACGACGCCGCCAATGCAGCACAAGCCGCTCTGCCTTCGAATAGTCGCTGTAAACCTCGTATTGGCAATCTTGGAAGCCACCGTTTGAGCCTAAACGTCATGGCGGGCCATGCGCCTGTTGCTGCCGCGAGCAAGCTGTGCTCGACAACCGGCGGAACGAGAGCTTCGTCGTCAGCAATCTGGACGCCAAACGACTGGCTAAAGGCCAATTCGCCGAGGATGTCAATGACGTAGAAATGCAGGAGCTTCTTAAGGTCGAAGACTTCATCACGATCGCAATATCCGGACAACTTGTTCTTGAGGATCTGTATGTTTTCGTCCAAGTAATGCTCCATCTTCTTCACGTAGGTGATAGAGAAGCTGTGAGACATATGCCGCCTTCGAACGGAATGCATCTGTAAGATGTGTTAGCGCAAGACCGCAGGCGATAAGACGTGCTCTTGACTTACAGACTCGTCTCGCATGCCAAAGACGTTAGGATGCGCCGCACCATAAGCATCGTAGAACTCCGTCTTGGGGAACATTCTCCCGCCCTTCTGATAGAGAACCGGAATGGCATCCTCGGCTGTGGTGCTGAGCTTGTCCGGACCATACCGCACAAACTGGCCGTATTTCTCGTGTAAAGCGGTCAAGTAGTACGGCTGCTTCAGCGAGAGGAATTCAGCCACTTGCCATAAGTCTGTGATGGACGCAAGAAAAGGGCCGGGGTATTCAGCCAAGGGATGGAAGAAACGTTGATAAACAATATAGACAAAGGTGTACGAGACGAAGCAGACAGAGACGACAAGAACCGCCGCAGAAACTGCGGACCTTGGGGATTGAATCAGTTCAAAGATGAACGAGCTCATCTTGTGTCTGGCTAGGTATAGAAGCAGAGATTTGCTCATGTCAGGAACTCGGCAGGGCAGCAGGCAGAGGGCATGGACCCTTTCATATTCCCGTTGAGCTCTTCATTCCTCGGTGAGAACTGCAGGACCATCCGCTTCAGGAGCCTTCCGCAAATCGGAAATGGTGGCTCGCCGGGGGTCTTCGAGACATCGGGAAGAGCGCGGAGCCTGAATGTGTATGTACGGATACCAGATCTGCATCCGGCGGATTCTGTGCTTGGGAAAGGTCGATCCGATTCGAAGAGACTTGACTAGTGGCTTAGCAGGCGGCATCGCCGGATAGGTGGAACCCGATTGGCCATGGCCGCGAAATCGCCAATCGATTGGTTGGAACATCCTCAGCAAGATATTATTTAGTCAAATGCAACGCGCATGCTGCATGCAAAATCGCAAACACATGGACTTGCTAGAGAGCTCCTACACTGATCAAGCTGGGCCACATTCCAAATCCTGAGACGCAAAGACGCCATGACCGCATCCCACCTCCATGACGATGAAAAAGCTCAAGCTCAGCAATCTGAGCTCATGGTATTTCACTGGCGATGAAAAGGAAAATGTCTCTCGCTAAGCCTCTACAGCCCAGCACTGGTCATATCTCTGAAGAACATCGTCAATACCTCTTGGACAAGCATTCGGCCGTAGACCTCGACCCTCTTCCAGATATGAACGATGCAGATCCCCACAATTGGCCATTGCGCAAGGTCAGTCGTTGTTCGAATATTGGAGACCCAGCTAAGTTTAACGTTGATTCAGAAAGTTATCAATCTCCTGATTGTTGCGTTCCATGGTCTCATGGGTACCTTCACAGCGGCGGCTATCCAGTCTGCATTTGTAGACATTGCAGAGGACTTACACGTTAGCGTGGTAAGAACGAGCTACTTGACCTCTCTTGTTATTGCTATCCTTGGTGTTGCGCCTCTTTTCTGGAAGCCGCTCTCCGACCGCTTTGGAAGACGACCTGTTTTCCTTATCTCATTGGTTGGGAGCTTTGTAGGCAACGTTGGCTGTGCAGAAAGCCACCAATACGCCACGATGGCCCTCTGTCGGGCTATCACTGCATTTTTTATTTGCCCTGCTGCCGCCCTTGGAAGCGCTGTTGTCGCGGAATGTTTCTTCAAACATCAGAGAGCACGTTACCTGGGAATCTGGACGGTTTTGGTCACCATTGGAGTACCAACCGCGCCTTTTATCTTTGGCTTTGTTGCTTTGAGGGTTGGTTACCGTTGGATCTATTGGACGCTCGCCATCGTAAGTTTCCTGACTCTTAACAGCGGACATCCGCAGGCTAATATAGCTTTAAGACCAACGCTATTCAACTCATTCTTTACATCTTCCTAGGTCCAGAAACTCGGTATATCAAGGGTCAAGGATCTCTTCCGGGCCCTAAGTCATCTGGCTACGGCGGCTTGTTCCGTTTCCGACGCATCGACCCGGCCCCGTTGACGCCTCTCGACTTTATTCGACCCCTGGGTCTCGCTGCTCGCCTCTGTGTGCTTATACCGGCAGCAGCTTACGCCATGGTCTTCCTTTTCGCTTCTATTCTGATCGCCATCGAGATCCCGCAAATCTTCCCGGAGCAATTCCATTTCAACACGCAACAAGTCGGACTGCAAAACCTCAGCATCATTATCGGTTCTCTCCTTGGCGAACAAATCGGGGGGTACATGTCCGATATGTGGATGAGGCGCCAAAAGCATACTAAGTCTTTCGGCGCCGAGTTCCGGCTCTGGCTAAGTTACTTGGGATACGCCCTTGCCATCGGCGGCACGGCCATGTTTCTCGTTTGTGTGAACAACGCCGGCGAGCATTGGAACATCGCCCCGCTTATTGGAGCAGCGATTGCTGCTGGGGGAAATCAGATCGTTACTACAGTCCTAACCACCTACTCAATCGATTGTTACCCTCAAGAGGCGGCGGCGATTGGTACTTTTATCAACTTTGTTCGTCAAGTGTGGGGATTCATTGGACCTTTCTGGTAAGATTGAATGAACGATGCATCACACATCTTACGTTTTCTGACGATATTGCAGGTTTCATCACATGATTGGCAGTGTGGGGCTGGATGGCAGCGCCGGTGTCACTGCGGCGCTTGTAGTCGGAGTCAGCGTGTTGCCCACAGTAGTGTTGCAATGGAAAGGGGTTTCATGGCGCAAAGTCACTACGACGCACTGCAGTGAGTGAGCGCGGCTGGTGGAGTAACGACGATGCGGTGGTGCCAGGATAGGAGGACCGAGAGAGCCGTACACAGCCAGCAAATAATCACGCCGGGACAATAAAGGGGGGGTTCTGATTCCTCCGTGGCAATCGAGCAACAAAAAGACGGCTTTAGGATTAAGACAAATCACTTAGAAAGATGTAAAGCTAAACAAGTCAAGATGTTTAAGTAGGAGACCGCAGGATTCGACCTCTGCACTTAAGCCACCTAAAATCGCAGCCACAGCACCTGCCATCACGATGTCCGTGCGAAGACGCGAGGCGCACCCTTTAGGCAGCTATTTGTGCTTGCTCTAAGAGGGTAACAGCAAGATTCTAGACTCTGCAGCATAGCTAACGTTTGTCCACCACACTCGCCAACGTCGACTTAATCTACATCAATCAGAGCGATGACTCCGAAAAGAACGAGCAGGTCCCGCGGATGGGATCTATCTACTCGGGAGCCAGAGGCGTCCTCATCTGGCTTGGACTTAGGAGACAGGAGACCGACCAGCTTGCCAGCATTCTCCACACCTTAGGGAAGATCCTGTGGATTCGCTACTCTATTCTCCAGCCGGATGTCCTTCGGCCGAAGATTGCCCTTGGCGGATTTGTACGACCCCAGACAGAGAAGCTGAGATTCTGGGGCGTCTCGAAGCCGCCATGGAAGCAGGCAACAAGGTAGCTCGTGCTCATTAGCCCCCGTCGGCGACAGCCTAAGTCTTTATGCATTGTTTCCTGTCTTCAATCCTGGCAAGCGACTGGTGGTACCGCGTCTGGATAATTCAGGAATTCGCAATGCCTAAGAAATGCCATTTCCAAACCGGCTTACGCAGGATCGACTCCGAAGAACCAGCGGCGCTTGTATTCGTCACTGGCTAACTTCGCCTAGTGTGTCGAGGTTCCGAACTCATATGGGGTCTAGACACTGATAAAGAGGCTCTCTGGCGAACCGTTATGGATCCTCGGCTCGAAATCCCCTCGCTCTCAGCCAGTGCCGTGAACGGTGGCGTACGAAACACGACAGGACTATGAGCTTCTTTAAAATCCTCGTCTAGATATACTGCCGGGTACAGACGAAGGCGCCTGGTTGCAAGGACGATAGGGATAGGATCTTCGCCCTTAGAGGCCTCCCCGAAGCGGACTACAACAGACATGGACTCATGGTCGCCTGTCACAAGCAATGCTATCAAGTATATATTGAGTTTGCGGAGCGGCTAATACAAGCCGGTCGCCTGGACGTCCTCTCATTATGCCAGTTCCCGAACGTCAGGCCGACTCCGACCGGTTGCCCTTCGCCGAGAATTCCGGAGTATCTCTGCGACAGTTGGAAATTGCCGCCTTGGACCCCTGATTGGTCTACCCGAATTACTGCTCCCAACGATTGGTTTATGCTACATGGAAACTCACTCTTCTCTGCATCAGCGGGAAGCTCCCCCAAGTGCTCATTCAACGCAGCTACTGATCCGAACAATCCACAGTGTCGTGCATCGGCAACACTGACCGGTGTTCTGGTGGACGAAATCGTTGACGTCAGATTGGTCTATGCTCGAGGCACTGCTCGCAAGCGGCTGGAAAACGATTTTCTATTCGGCACCCGATTTAGGGAGAGACAGCAATTGTGCAAAGCGTCGCGAACTTGGCCACGACACCTACTCACCTTCGCAGCTTCGTGAAGCTGCCTGGAAAATCCGATATGGAGCCATGAAATCGCTCCTGGAGTCCCGACTCAGCGTTCGACGAAGCTCAGCGAAGGCCGCTGCAAGGCATGCCTCAATATTTTTAAGCTCTCGGAAGCCTTTCTGAACGCCGTGAACGTGTCTCCGGGTACAACATCCCCCGGCAGACCTTGGCGTTACATCAAGATCCGGGATTACAGAGCTGCGATGAACTTCTACTGGACTAGGTTTCGAATGGCGAGAACGGCCAAGCAAGAAGTAGATAGTGTCCCTATCAAAGAACCAAGAGGTCCCAATTTGTATATCACTTCTATGACATCGGGTCGTCCGGCAAGACTCTTCCTCACCAAGCGCGGATACATTGGATTCGGGCCGAGCGGTGTTCAACCTGGAAACATGGCGTGTATACTTCTCGGTGCTAGTATACCGCATATTCTTCGACTACAAGGGAACGGCGAATCTGGCTATGTATTTGTTAGCGGGTATATAAGGCGTTATAACTAAAAGAGTAAAAGGATTGGATCCTTTTGCTCCTGAAAGTATTGGTTGGGGAGGCGTATGTGCATAGGGTCATGGGTGGGGAACTGATTAAGGAGAGGCTAGAGTACGTCGACATCGAACTGTTTTGAGCGAAATTCGTGCTAAGTACAGCATGAGTTCCGCCAGGCGGTGAGGAGACGGGTATTTAGTCTCTTGTTCTGAAGGTTCCAACGACTGACCGTAGCACTTATGCATTGGAAAAAGGAGTCTACCGCATCATCTCAACGAATGTTGCTTAGTTCGATGAGCGGCGGAAGTAAACTTCAACAGCTTGTTCCTTGTTGGGGGGCGAGAATATCTGATCAAGTCCAGAGTATACGCGAACAGTCCCACTCCGTAATCATTAGTTGTTCTGCTCTGTGACTATAACTGTCACTCAAGCAGGTTAGCTCCACAAGATTGCACAATTATTTGTTTCTCCCTATACATTAATTTCCGTAGAAAATTTGCTTGTTACGTATAGGTCTGCTAAATCTTGAAATGTTCCAATCAAAGGTGTGATAGTGTAATGGTATCACAACACGTTGTGGCCGTAAAAAGCCGTGTTAATCTGAGTTCGATCCTCAGTCACGCCAATCGAACTCTCCAAACTTTTTGCAAAATTTCCAGGCCTTGGGGGCGTGGGGACCATTTATGTTCTCCAAGAGCGAAAGTTCGGAGTTGATAGGGAGCGGCCCGACTCCGCTCCGAACAACTTCCGCGGTCCCTCAAACTTTTTGGTCGCGCATCCATCAACCCAACCTCGACCACGGCCACTCTTCATCATGGCCGAACAGGACGCGAAGGCGTCACCGACCGGTGGGCCATCAAGTGGTCCTGCAAAGCCCCCTAAACCTCCGAATCCAATATGGAGGATGATGGGTTCGTCGCTCCCTTCTTTTTTCGCCTGCAACTCGAAAGCTGACCATCACAGGCCTGCCCAACTTCCGCTGGAAGCTTCCGTCGCGCAATTGGATGATATTCCTCACGATCACCGGCTCATGGACTGCCGCCGTCATGTACGACCGCCGCGAGAAGAAACGCATACAAAGGAAATGGGCCAAGCTGGTGGAGCACATTGCGCAGGAATCTATGGACGAACGACAGCTGCCCCGGAAGCTCACCGTATACGTGTCTGCACCGCCGGCAGACGGATTGGTACCTGCGCGCGACCACTTCCACGAGTACGTAAAGCCAATACTGGTTGCGGCAGCGCTGGACTGGGATGCGGTCGAGGGGAGGAGAGAGGGTGATGTGAGGGCTGGATTGGCTGAGAGGATACGCAAGCTGAGGAAGAAGAAAGGGGAGCCGGCCAACGAACCCTTGGAAGTAGAATTGGAGGAAATTCTAGAAGAGACTAGGAACCGGGCAGGAGTTAGAGAGTGGGACGGACCCGGCGGGGATATTGTCATTGGAAGGCATGCATGGAAAGAGTATGTGAGAGGCTTGCACGAAGGGTGGCTAGGGCCATTGGATCCTCCCGCATCGGCAGTGGAGGAGTCCATTGCACCCACATCAACTCCAACCGAAGCTCCGGTTGAGACCTCAACACTCTCACAACTATCCGCAACCGACAATGCGTCTCCGACCGCGGCCACTGAAGTTCCCAAACCAGAAGAAGTCGAGAAGCCCAAAGAGGAGGAGAACAAGCCGAAGAAGAAGAAACAACCGCCGCCATTCAATACCCCGGCCGACTACCGAGATTCTGCCCTTTCCCCGAGCTGCCCTCGCGCTCTCGGCCCTTCGGCCGCAATACCCTTCCCACACCTTCTTGGCTTCCTCAACTTCCCAATTCGCATGTACCGCTTCCTCAACAGGAGGAAGGTGGCAGATGACATCGGGCGACAGACAGCAGCTGCTGTGCTCGGCGCATACAGACCCTATCATGCGCCGGCCGAGTCGGGGCCTAGCTTCAGCGATGAGGACGTTGACGAGAGCTCTAAGTGGGAGCAGCAGCGGCTGTTACAGCACGAGGAACCCGATTGGCACAAGACAGTGCGAGAGCGCAAACACGACAGGAAGGAGAGGGTTTGGTTAGATGAAATGGTCATCGATCCCCGAATTGGCGAGCGCATGCGCAGGTTTGAGCTGGATTCTGAAGCGGAGGAGAGAGCGAACCGATGGGCAAGCGAGAAGGGAGAGTTGTGGTTCAAGTCACTGTGGCCGAAGAGGGAGGAAAGGAAGAAGCCGTGGGAGGGATTGAATGACGATGTGGACTGAACTGGCGGTTAAGATACCAATCTCGGCTTCGATCGTGTGTTATATAGTTTCGGATCCTGTAAGAGTATGTAGCATAGAGCCATTAGCATAGTAGTGGCATACGACCATATCTCTTTCTCCCCCAGATCACGTGCGATCCCTTGGCGGGCGATCCTGCCCCGCTATGACCGAAGCTTCCAGTCCCCTTCACAGATTGGCCTCCATACCTCACTCTTACACGTTTGAGCTACCTGTGATCGCCGCGCTACAATTTTCACTCAATTTTGTTCTCCTCCTTCCTTCAGCACCATCATCTGAATCTACTGGCTCGCTCCTCCAGAAACACTTCCTTGCCGTTATGGTGAGCCTCAACCGCACCATTTTCAGCATATCTGTGCTCTAACCAGCTGCAGGCATCCCCCCAATCCAAGAAGCGCCTTGCGCTCGCAATCCTCGACTTCCTCCAAACCTCGCAGGCCGACGGCTCAGTAGCGCCCGAAGATGCCGAACAGCTCGAAGTCGCCGCGAACTGCATCTCCGAGGCTTTTAAGGTGGACCCGGCCGACGAGACCGCAATGAAGGATGCACTAGGTGGCCAGAATCTGCTTGCCATATATAATGTGTATGAGAAGCTCAAGGGAAAGACTACCGCTTCGACAGAGGGTCCGTCGTCCGCATCGGAAGCACGACCAGCTACGCCGCAGACGCCTGCGGCGAGTGCACCAGGGCCTGGAGGACCCAATAAGGATGAGGGAGAGAGGCTGAAGGGGCTTGGAAACGAGGCGATGAAGAAGAAAGACTATGAATCGGCAATCAAGCACTACACCGCTGCGCTGGACCTCATCCCGCTCAACCCCATCTACCTCTCTAACCGCGCGGCCGCCTACTCTGGCATAGGCAAGCATAGCGAGGCGAAGGGAGACGCCGAGATGGCAGTCGCGGCGGACCCGAAGTACTCCAAGGCATGGTCACGCCTCGGTCTCGCCAAGTTCGTTCTAGGTGACGCGAAGGGCGCTATGGAGGCGTACAAGGCTGGCATGGATGCCGAAGGCGGTGGCTCGGAGGTCATGCGCAAGGGATACGAGACGGCGAAGAAGAAGTATGAAGAGGAGGGCGGCGATGTTGGTGCTCCGGATGCGGATCGGGGCATGCCTGGTGGTGGTGCAGCGGGTGCCGGAGGTATGCCAGACCTTTCGTCGCTGGCCGGGATGTTGGGCGGAGGTGGTGGAGGCGGCGGTGGCATGCCCGATCTTGCAGGTCTCATGAACAACCCGATGATGAGACAGATGGCGCAGAACCTCATGAGCAACCCGGACATGCTGAACAACATCATGAGCAACCCACGGATAGCGCAGATGGCGGAGCAGTTTGGCCGTGGCGGCGGCGCTGGTGGTGGTGGTGGTGGACCGAATCTGTCGGAGATGATGAACGACCCTAGCATTGCGGAGATGTAAGTGGGATGCCTCTACCGTCTAAAGGATATTGACTGATGTCACCTAGGGCACGAAGCTTCATGGGTGGCGGTGGTGCTGGGCGAGGAGCACCAGGAGCACCAGGAGGAGGGTCTTCGTAGGCCGCTGAAGAGTGCCCGTAGCGGTGATGAAGGTGGAACGTTGGAGAGCATCTTTAACACTGTCGGGTGGACGGAAATAATGATACCACACTTCATGCTCAAGCTCCACCTGACCTGGGCGCCAACGCGGCATGCGTCATCATAATTTTGGTCCTCTTGGGCCTTCTCAAGCGCTCAAAGGGGCGCGTCTGCTAGGCTCTCGCCGTAGAATGCCTCCCTGCTCATGGTATCCCTTATCCACGCCCGTTTGAATCAGTCCTTGCAAGCATCAGACCCTCGCCGCATCAAGTCTCGTCAACCCATACCCAATCCAACCATGTTCCATCACCCCAGATTCAACGCCCAAAGCCCATCCCCTAAATAATGCCCTGCCTCACAAGCCTGCCCCTTCTTCACCTTCTTCATCTCCGCCGTCCCCGCCTTCAGCACCCCCACCATACACGCATTCTCCTTCCCCTCGGCCTCAATCACCACCACCGTCCCGGGCTCCAAATCCTCTCTCCCATACCGTCCCTCCGCATCCTCCGGATCGCCTGGCAGCCGGCCCCCCGCGCTCGTCAGCCCCGGCGTCATCAGCGTCGCCCCGCTCAGCACGAACCGGATCGCGCCCCGATCGATCCGCAGCCGCGCGAAGCACCCCGGATACCGGTGCACCAGTGCTAGGTGCGGCATCAGCGCGTCGTCCATGTGCTGGAAGAACAGCGGCGTTGTCCCCAGCGTGTACAGCGAGACGCGGTCGGGGAGTTTGATTAGGTCGAGCTGCTCTTTTTTCGGCAGGATGTCTTCGATGTACGGCGTTAGGAGCGGGTACGTGTCTAGGATCTTGGTGCGGATGCCGCGTTGGGCCGACGATTTTACTTTGGTTTTCGCGCCCGGGGTGATGCTGTTGTGGGTGGGGATGTGTTAGTTCGTGAGTGAGTTGGCGGGGATGGATTAGGGGAGAGGGGGAAGGGGAGGGGAACGGACTCTTTTTTGAACATTTTGAAGGCGGAGGTTGTCGATTTAGGGGGGTCGGGGTTGAATGGAGGGAGAGCGAGAGCGCGGAGAAGACGTCGTGGTGTTGAAAATGTGCCCCCCAGTTTGGATTCGAGTTGCGCGTTTGGAAGGAGGGGCAGCGCAGTAGTATGGGAGGCGGGAGCTAGGGCGGGCTAAACGAGCCACTGTGGCGCTCTCCGGTATCTTTTTGCTACTTCGCGCTCTCCTTTCAACCTCGGAATCTTTCAGAGTTTGCAGTACGTAGCTCCATGTTCCTGAGCACTCGTTCTTCCGCTCAGCTAAGCAGCTACTTTGGGCTCAGAGAGATCATATTCCCTCTTTGGAACAGTACAAGTTGACGGATTTCTCTCGATACCTCCCACACCCGTTTTGTAACGGAAAAATCATTCCAACGCTCTCCTTCGGCGGATATGTGTACTGAGGGCAGGGCAAGTCGGCGTGTTAGCGAGAGAAGAATTCCCTTCTAAATATCTAGTTCAGCACAAGGATCACCTAACGTGGTTGACCGACTGTTTGCTTTAGGAGAAGGATTCGTTGAATTTCCTAATTTTTTCTTCCTCCTATTATTGCTCGTCTCTAATGGTTCTTATTCTACAGACCGCTTGTGGGATTTCCCTGCCGAAGGCGTATGGGCCTCGTAATCCTCAGTGGCGTCGTTACGCCTATGAACTATCCCTTATCGGGTTAAGTCAACCTGCAAAAAATCGCATCCCGAGCCTCCACCTTTCCACGCTCCCCGAGTAAAGCACTTGAAGGCGCACCGTCAACACTCGATAATGCTCCGAAGCACATCAAGGACCCCAGTTCAGTTAGCTATTTAGCGCTAGGGGAACTCTTGCTTAAAGTCGCTTAGCACGTTCCGGACCAGTACTGTATTTCCCTACTCAACGCACAGACCCCACTTAACGCACACTTTTTAGCATCTCTTACCCCCCTCTAAAATAAGAACTATAATAGATAAATAAATAAAATTTTAGTATATTATTTATATACTACTAGTAACTCTATATTAGCTTAGAAATTTTAAAA